CTTTTCGCCGCCGAGTTTGAATAGCTCAGCCGGTAATCCATTTATATATGCATATAAATACATACATATATACATACATATATTTTTGAGTTACTATTATTTTCTTATAATAAATAATATACAAATTAATCGCGAGTATATCGCAAATCCGCTAATACACGGTAAAAAAATCAATAATTACACCTAACTCGTTTTTTAAATCCGTGTAAATACACGGTTGAGAAAAGATTTTTTTGTACAAAATTTTTAATCAACTACGGTTTTTAAATAACTGCCTTGTAATTATGTTTGTTTTACCACACTTAGCATCATTGCTGAAATGAACATACATTGAACATACAAATTAATCGCGAGTATATCGCAAATACGCTAATACACGGTAAAAAAAATCAATAATTACACCTAACTCGTTTTTTAAATCCGTGTTTTTTAAATCCGTGTAAATACACGGTTGAGAAAAGGTTTTTTTGTACAAAATTTGTAATCAACTACGGTTTTTAAATAACTGTCTTGTAATTATGTTTGTTTTACCACACTTAGCATCATTGCTGAAATGAACATACATACTAACTGGGAAATCCCCTTATTCGATCACTCTTAAAGTGGGCATACACGACACACAAGTACGTTCGATCGGTATGTGTGCGCATGCGGTTTACTCGTGTATGGGACTGTGCGCGTACCGATCCATGCTCGCGAAAATGTTTGATTTTTTACGATCGGTGCGCGCACATGTGTGTCGTGTATGGCGCTGTGTGCAGTCGTGTGTCGCCGAACAGTGAAGACCGCGGACGAACAATGGCAAGTGTTAAGGGGGAAGCTTCAAAAAATCGATTTTTTTGAGGATTTTTTGGGAGGGGAAAAAACAATTGATTTAAGTACGAAATCTTTGATATTCTGCCTTTGGGAAGCAATTGCCCGATGCATCTCGCATGTGCATTTTTCGGACGGCGAGCAGGATGCAGGTCGCTTTATCTATCAGAAACAAAACATTCTAAGAGATTCTTTTTTTAATAACTTATCTTCTAGTTAAACTACGAAAATTCCAAAAAAATGTAGAATTTCAAAAAAAAAAAATTAAAAAAGTGGTTTTCGTCCAAAAGAAATTTTACTTAATGTTGTTTAAAAATATGTTCAAACTTGACTTTCTTAGTTTATTTATTATATTTTAAATAGAAAATACCTTAATGTCAAAGATAACAAACTTTGCCCCATATTCCATACGACGTTTAGTCGCCAATTAAAAAAATCGTAACAATTAAAAACCGAGAAATCACGCGGTAAAGTTTTCGCTTTTCGCCCAAGCGCTCATATATCTGCTAGACGCTCGGTCACTATTTCCCTTCTAGCTTCGATAATATTTCGAATTCCCATCTATAACTTTGGGGACATATTCTTATATAATTGTTAAAGAGATTTAAACAAAAAAATCGATTATTTGAAGCTTCTAAAGCAGGCTACCCCATTAATAGAAACTTCGTTTCAGAATTTATGGATCTTATAAAAAATTAATTAGCAATTTGGCAAACGAAAAGTGATAAATATAAAAATAAAATTGAAAAAAATAAAAGTTGAAATAACTTATTAACGAAATAAAAAGAAATGGATGAAAGTGCTACTGCAAAACAATAACCAGACAGAACCTACCAGCCTTACACCCCCCACGGCAATTAGCGGAGATAATAAATTCCAAGAAATGTTCCGCTTGCCTGTGGCACATGTTCACTGTGTGAAAAACGAACGCAAAATGGATTTGTGTGTCGTGTATGGGCGAAACGAATTCACACAAATCCAACGCACATGTGTGTCGTGTATAGGCCCTATTACCTACACATTTTGTTCGCATAATATTTACATTGCTGAAATGGATATCTCACCAACAATTGCGCTTGCTATCAACTAGCGACGAATAATTATGTAGCAATGTAAATATTTTTTTCTCTATTCTAATTTTTTTGTTCTTAGTTCTGGATTAACAGATTTCTTCTGTTTTTTGCTTACCAATTTTTACCTGATTTATGTATTTTAAGTTTTAAAGCTCAAATAAAATGCCATATGAACTAACAATTTGTATGCATATCTGAAATTTTATAGTTTTCAACATTTTTACACGGTTTTCAAAGTAAATATAATTCTTTATTTAATCTTACACGGTTTTCAGATGACATGGGACGTATCCCCCTTTTTTCTATAGGAAACGCCTCTTTTTGTACATTGATTTCTGATTAACGTATCTACCGTGTAAAAAAAAAGTTGGGTGTATATACAAATATTTATTTATTTTGACGATTTATGCGGTGAATACTTACGTGTTCGCAAATTTATATAATTCAATTAATTAATAATAAAAGTTTTAATTCTATTTTTCTTTTCATTTTGTTAACACATTTGCTCATATTTCCAATATTGTATTTCAAAGCAAAAGATTTTTAAGCTCAAAGCTTACAATTTAGTTCTATAAATGCCATCTGAGAAATCAAAAGAGGTTAAACCTAGAACACCTCAATTATTAGAAATTCTGAAAATGGCTGATGTGAAGGTAAATCACAAAGCACACCTGAAGCGCTGACGCTACACGCTCAAAGCAGGGTGCCAAACAAAAAATAACCAAAGATAATTTAGTGTCAAGGTTCATAACTGAAAGTTTTCTTAGATACTGCACAAGATTTACTGCTTCCCCTTTTAATAACAATACAGAATCGGTTCTAAATTTAAAAATTCATAGCATAGATAGCATATGGGCAAGCCTTCTGGCAGCATATGATACAGTACTAGACAATGACGATGCTGAACTCTCAGAAAACATAAAAGCTTCGGCGTCAGCTAAATATGAAAACTGCCTCGAACAATATGAAATTACGAAAGCAATGATAATAGACCAAATAAATTTGTTAAGGCCATGTAGAGCCACTACTCCTCCTCCGAGAGTAGTAACGACTCAAAAAGAAGACCTAGATACAGGTATATTCTTCAAAGTGCCAGCTTGTGATACTGAAGTGTTTTCACGGAGGTTATGAGCAGTGGCCGTCCTTCCGGGACATGTTCACTGCCTTATACATAAAAATCCCAAACTTTCACGAGCTCAAAAGCTGTAAAATCTCAGATACAAAACAAAAGGGGAAGCAGACAGTATCATCAAGCGTTTGGCTTTAAATGACGAAAACTTTAATCTGGCTTGGGAAGCACTGGTCGAAAGATACGAAAATGAAAGAGTATTGTTAGATAACCAAATAACAATTTTAATGAATTTACCAAAAATTCAACAACAAACCAGCCAAGAATTTCAAAAAGTATACTCGACAGTGACTAATTGTTTATCAGTATTAGAAACAGAAAAGATTTCCACAGAATCGTGGGACCCTATCCTAGTAAATATTTGTGCAGCAACACTGCCTGATGCTGCTTTGCTACGATGGGAGCAATCACTAGTGACAAGAAAGAAATCGCCAAAATGGCATCAAATGAAAGAATTCTTAAGAACTCAGTACGAAATAGCTGAGCGAGTTGACAAAAAAAAAAAAAAAAAAAAAAAAAAAAAAAAAAAAAAAAAAAAAAAAAAAAAAAAAAAAAAAAAAAAAAATAGTCAAGACAAAAAATAATCACAATGACTCGAATAAAAACTTTTTTAAACCCCAAGCCAGCAATACTATACAATATAATAGACACGCTAATAGAAGTATTATATATATATATTTTTGACAAATCAAACATATCATTGGCAATCATTATGTGAAATATGTGAAAGAGGTCACAATGTAAGGCCTTGCGAGAAGTTTAAAAAAATGTCTGCTTCAGATAGGAACCAGTGTTTAAAAAACTGCAGCAAGTTTCATTTCATGTGATTTTGCTTCTGCTTCTGCTTCTGAAAAAAAAACAGAAGTCGCAGTCGAAGCAAAAGCAGAAAACGATCGTCAACGAAAAGCGAATCAGCAGCAGCAGACGCCGTGTGAAAAGTTTTGATTTTGCTTTGCTGCTGCTTTCGCTAAGCAACGCAAGTCGAAGCACCAGCTACTGCTCGACTTCTACAAGTCGCCAGCAGCAGCAGTCGCCGTTTGAAAAGTTTTGATTTCRCTTTGCTGCTGCTTTCGATTCTGCAAGTCGCTGCATGTCGCAGTCGCAACTGCTGTCGAGATTTACTTTGCTGCTTATGCTGTTTGCTGCTCCCCTTGCATTCTAATAAACTAAACAGTATGACAATTTATTTTTTTAAATTAATTTTTTTCATAAAATACAATATTATTCAAAATAAACTTTCAAAATCTTCGTTATCTTGAAAAAGAGATAAGTTATTAATCGCTGAGTCCAGAAAGCTTGGATTGAATTTGACCAGCAGTATATTCTCTAGTACTTCCTGACTTAGTCGATTTGGGTAATCAGTAAGTACAAGTCTTAACGTCGAAAATGCTCGTTCAATCGTCACCTGTTAGAAAACATTTGTATTTATGAAACTGTGAACATTAATTTATTAAAACATTTGTATATATGTACCTGAGTTGGTGGTACAGCAAAGCAAACATTACTTAGTGSAYATAGCTCCTGGTCAGTGCACTGCTTTYCTTTCCAAAATGTGAGAACGTCTGCATCGATTCTTTGGAAAGGAAGTTGAAGATTGTCAATCTTTGAATAGACGTCGAATGTACTACTGACTTCCGTTTGGATCCCTTGCTCTAAGTAAGCGTTTAACAATTCGCCTTCTTCATCAAAAAAATGGTTCACAGATTGATGTGAGCCCGAATTTGGTGTTGAGCATAATTGTCCAGTAGAATTTATGTCATTTATTCTGCCCCATATCGATTTTAAATGATTCACTGCATAATTTTTTTGTTGTGGTATTAGTGTATGTTCGAAACGAGGATCCAAAACAAAACACGAAATGAGAAATTTATTATTTAATAATACTTTCGATCGCCTTTCTATAGAGCTCAGAATCTTTTCGCCAATCGTTCTTGTCATATCGTGAGTTGTATCACTTACAATTTTTTCTGTGCAAATTTGTAATTTTAGCCATTGGGCGTAAAAATTTCCATAATGCAATTGCTCTTCTTGAAATTTTTTATTGTTTTCTGCAATGGACTGAAAACTAAGCAATAGTTTTCAATAAAATCCCACAACGATGCATCCACTTCAAAATTGTCTTCTTCGATTTTGTTTTCAGTTGACTCAATTTCAGTTAATTCATCTTTAGCCACTAACAAATCCTTTAGCATCATGTAGGTGGATCCCCATCTGGTCGGACAATCTAGTTGCGGCATTTTTAGCTGTTTCAGCTCGAATATTTCGCGAAATCCATTTGAAGTTTTTCTTATAAATTTCGTCATGTTGCGACAATTAAATAGGTATTTCAACATATCCGACGATTTGGTAACATCGAGAGCAACCAGTTGAACTGTATGTGCAGCACAACGACAAACTTGAATATTCCCTATTAACACGTTTGGCATTTTTTCAATATTTTCAATTATTTTTAAATATTCATCGTTTGAACAATATTCGTCGTCCTCGCCAAGATTTTCATCGAAAGCAAATGATAATATATTTGTTGTCTTAAGCATGTTGGCACCATTGTCATATGTAATTGACACTATTTGGCTTAAGTTTATATTATATTTATTTAGGACTTTTAGCACTTCAGCGGCGAGATTTTTGGCTATGCTCGATCCAACACCTTTAAGCTCTACCATGCCCAATATAAGGGATTTTATTTGAGCTGAACTAATGTATTGAGCACTTATGCCAAAAATGTTTCTTGCCAGACGCGTGGCACTGTCAATTTTTAAAGACAATAATTTATTTGCCACTTCAGTGGTTATATGCTCTTTTACATTGTTTGCCACTGTTTGCAAAGTTTTTTTGCAGTTTGATGCATTTAACGTAATTTTTTTTCCGTCAGCGGCTTTAAGTCCATCACAAATTGGGTCAACGATATTTCACATATTTTCCGAATTTAAGACATTGAATGGAATGCTGTCTTCTGTCACCAATCCAATATATGACCTCAACAGTTGTTTTTTATTCACTTCAATTTTAATTTTATTTTTTTCTAATAGTTTTTTTTTTTAATTTTATGAAGGAATTTGACGACGACGACGTTTCTAACTGTCCAACACTTGCAGCATTTAAATTTATTTTGTGTAAATTAAGTAAATGAGTTTTTAAATTGGAAAGTCTATTATTTTTTAATTTATTTGCACATATTTTACATGTAGCTATGCCTCCATCAACATTATTCCCGAAATACATCCAAATATCACTTTGCGCCATAGTTAAACAATTAAGCTCCTGTATSGAACTTGTTTCAATTGACACTAATGCACAAGAATCAATCAAACAGTATACGCAGAAAAATTCAGACGCGAMAGTAGTTTCGACATTAGTCGCGACTGCGACATGCAGCCACTTGCAGAATCGAAAGCAGCAGCAAAGCAAAATCAAAACTTTTCAAACGGCGACTGCTGCTGCTGGCGACTTGCAGAAGTCGAGCAAATCAAAACTTTTTACACGGCGTCTGCTGCTGCTGATTCGCTTTTCGTGGACGATCGTTTTCTGCTTTTGCTTCGACTGCGACTTCTGTTTTCTTCAGAAGCAAAAGCAGAAACAACTGTTCATTTTAAGAAGTCGTTCGCAGTCGAAGCTGTGAAAAGCAAAAATATAGCGACTTCTGCTACTTCGACTTAAGTTTTTTAAACACTGATAGGAACAATCTTGTCCAACAACAACATAAGCTTTGCATCAACTGTCTGTCCAATACTCACGGGACAAAAGACTGTGAAAGCAAATTTAATTATGTGTACTGTCAACGAAGACACCACTCATTGCTTAATATAATATTAAAAATTTTCAAAATATTAAGCAAAATCAATTTCATAAAACCACTAGAACCAAAAGTGGTAATCCCGAAAAAGGGAATAACAAACATGTTGCTCTAAAGCAGCAAAAATGCAAGCTCTTCATTCAGAAAATGAAAGCAAAATTTCTGCTTCCCACTGTGATCATCGCTATTGAACATAGAGGAGAATTATTCAAATTAAGAGCATTAATAGTTCAAGAAAGGTTCTCAAAGATCCTTTATATCATTTAAAGATCAAAATCGCTTAATCAACATAGTTTCTCCAAATGCGGATATACGAATAGATGCACAAGCCATCGTTCTACCGCAACTCACAAATTAGCTTCCAAGTTGTGAAGTAAATACAAAGCAATGGGAAAAATGATCATATGTCAAATTAGCAGTTCCCAACTGCCATACCCCATCACAAATCGATTTATTATTAGGTAGTAACTTAATACTTCAAATAATTCTTGAAGGTATAGAAAAAATATACAATAAATTGTTAGCCCAAAATACAATCTTTGGTTGGATATTAAGTGGCCAAGTCACATAAAAAATTAATTCTTTTACAACTGAAGTTGAAAATATTTCAAACGAATATCTAAATAATGAACTCAAAAAATTCTGGGAAGTAGAAGAATTATTTCAGACTACTCAACTATCAGAAGAAGACCAGGCATGTAAAGTCCACAACAAAAAGAAACCAAAATGGTCGTTAGTTTTGCGACTCCCTTTCAAACTCACCTTCCCAGATTCTATAGCTCTAGGTCACTCTAGAATATCAGCAATCCAGCAATTTCTAAGCTGGAAAAAAGTCTGATAAAGAAAAGTGAGCTCAAAGCAGCATATGATAATGTGATGAATATTTAAACCTCAATCATATGGAAAAATCTATACCATAATAAAAAGTATCTAAAGGTAGATATTTATCTTTTTATCTGCCACATCACGGGGTATATGTTTTCAATGCCTCATGTGCTGAACATAATGAGCACGACAGACTGCAGCAGCACGACGGTGAACTCAAAATGGCGTTGTGAATCCTTCTACATGAACATTTGTGAGAAGACAGCAACATAACAATGGCCGGCATGTACACAAGACAACACAGCTGTCCATTTTGCATGTACACTTCACTTCAATGAAATTTTAATATTTTGTTCAAAGTAAAATTTTTTATGCAAAAAATAAGTAAATATGTAAATTTATTTATTTTAAATTATCAATTGTTATTACAAGTGATATAATACTGCTATTTTATGCTTTTATTTGTAAATTAACTTCAGGTTTGTTAGAGCTTTGAATAATTTTACATATTAGTGGCATCACCACTCTACCTCATCCCTCTTCTATCAACTCTATTGTTGTCCTACTGTCGTTGGCAAATATTAAAATATATTGAAGTTAGCGAGAGCGACAACTATCGGCCTGCAGTCGTGTAGTCCGGCAGCTGTCAAAATAACTGTGTCCATGAGAACGTGTGTATTTTAATATTTAACAGATGGTGTTTGTAGTCTGTCGCGCTCATTGTGTTCAGCAAATCAAAGTGTATAGGCTCAGGCAAATCACTCAACGATGTACTGTACACTTGCCCAACCTTACAATCTGTTCTCATACGGCTAATACTAAATTGGCGCATGTTTAAATTTGTTTTTTATGAGGATGTAGAGAAAATATACAGACAAATTCTAGTACATAAAGATGACCAAGATTTCCACCGTATAGTCTTCCGCAAATCAAGTAATAGCCCAATCAGCGACTACAAACTTAAAAATGTCACCTTTGGCATTTGGCGATCAGGACACTGTATAAAGTGGAAAAAATGTGCTCTTAGCAACTTCTGTGTTACAAACACAAACTTACGTGGATGATATTCTATCAGGTAGCCACAGTCTGTACTTAGCCTGCGAAGTGATCAGAGTGATCCCTTAAAGAAAATTACATCAAATCAGCCTAAAATAATAAAAAACATAAAAAAGGAAGACTTATTAGCTACAGATTTCCTCAAATTTGAAGCGGGCAGTACAACAAAAACCCTAGGGATTCACTGGAATGCAATAAGAGATCAATTCTCGTATACAATTGTAAATATCTGCAATGTCCGCCATAACCAAACTCCAAATTTTTTCCTTGGTGGCAAAATTTTCCAACCCCGCAGGATGGCTTTCGCCAATAATTATTCAAGCAAAAATCCTCATTCAAGAATTGCGGCAAGATGGTATTGAATGGGATTAACAGGTAAAACCTGTACGCTTAACAAAATGTGTTCAATTTGCAAACAACCTACATACTATATCAGAAATTCGAATCCTTCGATGGTTAAATTCCACCCAAACACCCCAAATTCCAACATTAACGCAGAATTACACGGTTTCTGTGAGGCCTCTGAAAAGGCTTATTGTGCAACAGTCTATGTATGCACTCAATACGATAATAAAATATCTGCACACCTCTTGGTAGCCAATGCCAAAGTTGCACCTTTGAAGACAATCAGTCTGCCATGGCTTCAACTGAATGGTGCTCTAGTGTTAGCAAAATTAATTTCAATAGTTCATTAACCGATCATAAAACCTATTTTTGGTCAGACTCAGAAATAGTTTTTGCGCGGTTAGAAAAACCACCCTATTGCTGGAAGACCTATGTATCTAACCGAATATCTCGAGTTTTAGTCTTAGTTGACCCAGCAAAATGCCAACATGTTGCAAGTGCAGATAACCCAGCGGATCTTGGGACAAGAGGTTGCACGCCAGATGGCTAACAGAATCACAAGAGTTCTAGAAAAAATCCCCCACTCGAAATTTTTTTTTATACTCTCGCAACAAAGTTGCTAAAGAGAGTATTATAGTTTTGTTCACATAACGGTTGTTTGTAAGTCCTAAAACTAAAGGAGTGAGATATAGGGTTATACATACCAAAGTGATCAGGGTGACGAGTAGAGTTGAAATCCGGATGTCTGTCTGTCCGTCCGTCCGTGCAAGCTGTAACTTGAGTAAAAATTGAGATAT